GTGGGTCTCATGGTTTGTGATTTGGTTCTGGAAAAAAAATAAAATAAATAAAAAGAGCCAGAAACTATCAGCTTGTGTTTGCGTAGCCATCATCAGTCATCGTAGCTAACTAAGTGTCCTAAATTTCACAAGGCAGCTACTGAGCTGACAAAGGTTGGGGGGGAGGGGAGGGGACAGACAACCACCTCTGGGCTGCCTGGCAGAGGAGCTCTTCATCCTCAGGTCACAGTCCCAGGAGGGGTCAGCTGGCCTGGACCCGGACATGGTGGGGCCCAGCTGCTCCAGGGAAGGGCTGGCAAAAGGAGCGAGCATCACAGGGATGCAGTCTGAGGGCGGCAGGGAAGGCTGAGGGGGCAGAGAGGCAAGGCAGGCTGGAGCTGCCAGAGCTGTGGGGAAAGTAGTCGCCCCCTAGTGGGGACAAGGCGGCGGCTGGGGAGGGGCGGGGGGGGGGGGCGAAGGGTTGAGCAGAAACTGCAGAGAAGGGGAGGGTACCAGAGGCAGAGTGGTCGGGCTGAGGTGCCTGGAGTCTGTGTGTGCTCTCTGAGAGAGGTGGGGAGGGGGTTTGTATGCTATGCTCCATGGGCTGCTCTGGCTGTGTACACGAGTTGTTTGTGTTGTGTGCATACTACCAGAGTGTGGCTGGTTGGGGTGAGGCGACATGCCTTGTTAAGGTTTCTGTGGGCTGCTCATGTCCTCGGTGTGGTTCAGGCGCTGAGCTGTATTCTCCATGCCTATGCTGCTGTGTCTGAGCTTAGGGCGGTGGTTAGGTGTGTACTCTGGGTCATTGAATCTGTGGCCTGTGGGCGATTGTTGATGCACAATAGGGCACAAATTACCCCGGTCCTTGCCCTGTAGTGACAACCCTGGCATTGCTCTGGAGCTTGCTGCCCTGGGCCTATGAGGCAGAGCTTGCCTCCCTGTCTGGGGCCAATGCTCACGGTGCCCACCCCCCTCTTAGTGGTGCTCTCTGAATATTGTGAGGTTTTGTCTCCCAGGAGCAGAGCAAGGCTGCAGGCTAGGTAGGATTCAGGCTGGACCACCCAAAGATACTTGAATCACTGGCCCATCCTCAAAGGGCTGCTTCTGTCCCAGAGCTACTAAGTCCGAGCACCAAGGCCTAGAATCCATTCAGGTGTGGCCACAATCACGTCTGCTCTCCGTCAGTCACGGGAACACCACAGCCTGCTCTTAGGGATTCTGGGAAAGCAGGGGGTCATACCCAACATGGAACCACCCAGCTCCAATCCAAGGCTGGCTTCTCAGTGAGCAAAGCTCAGGGAGTATGGTGGTGAGAAAGGCCAGGGTCTGAGCTGAGAAACGCTAGGCCTCTGTCTCGTCCCCCTCACTCTCCAGGAAGCCTTGGTGTGGTCCTCACACCCCTTTGTTCCTGGCTTTCCTTCAGGACACAGTAGGGATATGATTACCTGTTCTACCAAGACAGTGTACACAGTAGGCCCCCTAACTTTGGTAATTTTTTTTATCTCTCCCCCCAACCTTGGGGTGGGCAAAGGGAGATGCTATTTTGGTTTTGGCTGGGCCCTGGCTGTCCTGCTATTCGCCTCTGAGCTTAGTAGAGCAATGGGGTGTCTCAGCGAGCCAGAAGTAGCTTCCCCCCAAAAGATCTACAGGGACTCAAAAGTCTCCAGGGCCCTGCTTGTGGCAGTAGAAGCTGAGAAGGTGGATGTTCTGGAAGTCTCGTAAGGGTCTTCCTGGGGACAGAGCCTTTCTATCTGGCTCTCGTCTGGGTCTTGCTTCCCTCCTCTATCCTCTGCTCTTTGTGCATTGGGGCACAGGCTGCACCTTGAGCCTGGATAACCATGGCTGTGTGTGTGTGTGTGTGTGTGTGTGTGTGTGTGTGTGTGTGTGTGTGTTAATTTCTGGTATCCTCCTTTGTTAATCCCCTTATGCTTTGAGACAGGATCTGTCTCTCACTTGTCCTGGGACTCACAGATTCAACACTCTGGTTGGCCAGTCAGCTCTACAAATCCACCTGCCTCTACTCCTCAACTCTGGGATTACAAGCACATGCCATCACACTTGACACTTTCCTTTTCTTTCCCATAGTGCTTTATTTCATCCGCATTTTATGTGTGTGTGTGTGTGTGTGTGTGTGTGTGTATCTTCATGTATATATGTGCATGCGCACACTCGGCACCTGTGGAGGCCAGGAGAGGGGCGCTGGACTCCCTAGAACTGAAGGAGATGTGAGCTGCCACGTAGGCTCTGAGAATTGAGCCTCGGCTGTCTTAACCGCACAGCCATCTCTCCATGCCCAACTTTGTTTTGCTTTGTTGTCTTCCGGTTTTTCTAGCAGAGTTTCTCTATGTAACAGTCCTGGCTGTTCTGGAACTTTCTTGGTAGACCAGGCTGGCCTCGAACTCACACCTGTCTCTGTCTCTGGAGTGCTGGGATTAAAGGTGGGCATCACCACCGCCCAGCTCCAACTCTGCTTTTAACATGGGTTGTGGTGATCTAACTCCAGAATGCATGTCTGCATGTCAAGCATTGTACCAACTGAGATGTCTCCCAGTCCCTCCATGCTAATCTCAGTAAGATCTGGCCTTTTCCTGGATTCCATCAGGCAGACAACCTGACCTGCAGTTTCTGGGGGCCTGAACACTGGACATGGGCCAGGGTTCCCCTGGTTAGTCATTGGGGGTCCCACAGCCTGGACCTTAATCCCCCTCAGATTCCTCAGGTCGAGGTCACACAGTGGGCGAGTGGCCAGACCATCATGTCAGTCCCTGTACTGTGTTACAATCAGACCCTCGCCCCTGGAATGTCCCTGAAGTGATGTATTGTGAGGGGACAAATGAGTAGAGAGCTCTGAGGGCTTGCGGCATCCCTGGAAGACCAATGCCCTGTCTGGGCTATTCTCACGAGACTTTGCAGACACTAAGGAGCAATCACTGGAGACTGACTCGCGGCCTCCCTGGGTAGTTGTAGAGATTCCTCGAGGAGCGCCTTGGCGGGCTGCTTCCTGAGTACCACAGTTGCCAGTGGAGCCTCACCCCAGGGGAAGGGCTATTAATGGGGCATTGAGGATGCACGGGATTTCCCACATAGTGTGCATGGCCGGAAGTCTTTCTGGAAGAAGGGCCCTCGGGTGCAAAGCCACCAGCACGAGGAGGCACTCTCATCAGAGTGGCAGAGAGGGACATGTAGCAAGAATGTTGGGCGCGGGTAGGGCGAGGACCCTGAGAGATCAAGTGTAGCCAGGGCCGGCGTATCAGCCCGAGGACTCTGGGCTTCTCCCCGTGGTAGCTGGCATGAGCAGCTGTGGCACCAGTGGCCATGTGTCTGAGAACCCACATGGTCCTGCTGAGAGAGGCCACAGAGGAAAAGGTGTGGCAGGGGTAACTGCAGGGGGCAGTATGGCCTGTCCCTGGGGAATCTAGGCTGTGAAGGCCAAGCTCCAAGAAGCCCAGAGGGACTCCAGGTCCCAGTGCGAAGCAGATGAGGGTGCATGGTGGCTGGGCAAGCCGGAGCTGAAGGAAAGTGGCCCTTCTTTTTGCCTCCACTTTGGTCCTTCATGTATCCCTGGTCTGGAAGAGCGGGATCCTGAAGGAAGAGCTTCCTGGAGTCGGAAGACTCTGCTTCCCAGCTTTCCCCAGCCCCACAGGCCTCAAAGGGCGCAGAGACTCCTAATTTCAACACAGCGCTTTGCACTGTCTTGTGCGTGTCCTCCTGAGCCGATCGGGGAGCTCCCTAAGTGCTGGACTGCTGCCTTGGGAAGAGTGGTGGAAAGGAAGGATGGTTGGGTGCCCGTAGGATGGTGAGCCGTGAAAAGGAAGGAAGGAGGGGGCCACTGGAAGCTAGAAGGGGTGGAGACGATGGAAGGAAGGATGATGGATCGATGGATGGGTGTATGAAAGGAAAGACATGGGCAGAAGGCAGGGAGAGTAGAAGGGAGGGAGCCAGAAAGGAAGGATGGTTGGATGGGAAGGAGACACAGGTCCGTGGAAGAATGCAAATGGGTTGCATCCGATAGTAGTAGCCTATGAAAAAAGGTTCCGAAAACTGCATTGCTTTTAGGCCAGCTGGGTGCCAGCGCACCGGAACACGCGGCTTACACAGGCCTCTTCCTGTTGGTGGGTGCAGGTGGCGTGCAGCGCCATCTCGTGAATCTGCTGTCATTCTAAAGCGCTGGCTCTCCTACTCCTCTCTCTCCTCCCCGGAGCCCAGAGCGTGGTTTGGAAGATCCACTTAGTTCTTGGTGCCCACATCCTTTGGCAGGTTGGGCTCCTCCAGGCCCCAGGGTTTTGGTCAACCCAACCGAGCAATTCTGGGCCTCCCAGAGCATGTGGAATAGGGCAGGAGTGCCAATGCCAGCCCAAACTTTGACTTCCTGCTGTGTGTGTGTGTGTGTGTGTGTGTGTGTGTGTGTGTGTGTGTGAGCGCGCGCACGTGTGTGCGTGCACGCGGCGTCTTTAAGTAAATGAACAAAGGAAATAGATGCAGCCTCCAAGGGGCTTGGTTCCAGTAGAGCAGTCTTTCTTTGCACACTTTGGTCCCAGCGTCATAGTCAGTGTAGCTAAATACGGTGACAGACACCTCAGATTGTGTGGCTTAACACAGTGCAAGCTTTTGGTTTTTCCCTTTGTTTTTTACTTGCCATCAGAGTATTTAGTGACAGCCCACACTAATGTAGCCAGGCTCCGTCTCTCTCGTGGCTCTGCTGGACCCTGGAGTGTCAGGAAAGGAGGCTTAGGAGAACAGGGATGGGATGCAGGCTTTACTGGCCGGGCTCAGCAACAGCACTCACACTATAGGTTCCGGGGAGGACAATGTGGCCTTGGCTTGGGCTGTGTTAAAGGAGCTCTGTGCATGGTCTGCTCCTACTGTGGTACAGCCCAGGGAGGAAAATGTGGCTTTGGCTTGGGTTGTGTTGGAGGAGCTCTGTGCATGGTCTGCCCAGCCTGGACCCAAGTCAAGTCCCTCCGGGCTTCTCCACACTGAGTGGGACCTTTACTCTGACACGCTGTGTTTCTCGCCCACAGTACGTGGCCTTTGCCTCCCTCTTCTTCATCCTGGTCTCCATCACAACCTTCTGTCTGGAGACCCATGAGCGCTTCAACCCCATCGTGAACAAGACGGAAATTGAGAATGTTCGAAATGGCACCCAAGTGCGGTACTACCGGGAAGCAGAGACTGAGGCCTTCCTCACCTACATCGAGGGCGTCTGCGTGGTCTGGTTCACCTTTGAGTTCCTTGTGCGTGTCGTCTTCTGCCCCAACAAGGTGGAGTTCATCAAGAACTCACTCAACATCATTGACTTTGTGGCCATCCTCCCCTTCTACCTGGAGGTGGGCCTCAGCGGCCTGTCCTCCAAAGCTGCCAAGGACGTGCTGGGCTTCCTGCGTGTCGTCCGCTTCGTGCGCATCCTGCGCATCTTCAAGCTGACCCGTCACTTCGTGGGCCTGCGTGTGCTGGGCCACACGCTCCGGGCCAGCACCAACGAGTTCCTGCTGCTTATTATCTTCCTGGCTCTGGGCGTGCTCATCTTTGCCACCATGATCTACTACGCTGAGAGGATAGGGGCGCAGCCCAATGACCCCAGCGCCAGCGAGCACACACACTTTAAAAATATTCCCATTGGCTTCTGGTGGGCCGTGGTCACCATGACGACACTGGGCTATGGAGACATGTATCCTCAGACGTGGTCTGGTATGTTGGTGGGAGCATTGTGTGCTCTGGCGGGAGTGCTGACCATTGCCATGCCGGTGCCCGTCATCGTGAACAATTTCGGGATGTACTACTCTTTAGCCATGGCTAAGCAGAAACTACCAAAGAAAAAAAAGAAGCATATTCCACGGCCACCACAGCTGGGATCTCCCAATTATTGTAAATCTGTCGTAAACTCTCCTCACCACAGTACTCAGAGTGACACATGTCCGCTGGCCCAGGAAGAAATTTTAGAAATTAACAGAGCAGGTAGGAAACCTCTTAGAGGCATGTCGATCTGACCTTTCACCTCCGCCCCCTGTAGCAATGATTCCAGATTCAGTCAGACTGCTTCCTTAGTTCCATGGGCAACCCAGGACCCTGTGCCCATTCTGGAGATGTGGAGCCTGGGGCCCCAGGGATATGCTGGGCGGCCAAATCCAGAAGCCAAGAGCTTGCTAGAGGGACCTCCCTGGTGGCTCTGGCTAAGGAGGTTGACGTGGTTGGTCTCATGAGTTCTGAAGAGACCCCCACAGAGGTTTGCCGAGGACTCTCTTAGCAGGAGCCCAGAGGCTGCTGCTTGGTCAGAAGAGTCGAGTGTAAGGCTCTGACAGACTACTGGCCCGTGGTGGGCAGGGAGGGGGCAGGTGTGCGTCAGGGACGCCTCACAGCCTTTGATTTGGTCTATTAACACGGGTGCCTTCAGGCTGTGTAGAGTGGCAGAGTGGCCCATGAGATGCGGACAGTTGCCTAGCTCCATGATGAGTAGGCCAGTTGCCTAGCTCCAGCTCTTTGCTAGGAGTTGCCCCTAGCCTTCTGTGACAAGCTTACTTACCCCATAGCATGCCAAACCAGCTCACCCTCTGCCACCTCTCTAGAGTTTAGCACTTATCTTTAGGAATCTGTTGGAGTGACCCTGGCTTTCACGGTGTCTGTTTGGGTTGATGGTCCAGTGGGAGTTTCTGGTGACCTTCTGATGGAAGTGGCCGGTGAGCAAAGGACTAGAGGGGGACCGCACCCCAGGCAGCTTAGATGAAAGCGTTACAGACCAGCAACAACCTCCCACCACTGAGAGTTGCCCCCGTATCTAGCGGTAGGGACTGCAGTAGCAGCAGTACAAGACATCCCAACCACTTACCCATGGGTTCACTGGGAGATGGGGGTGGGGGAGAAACAATACTAGTCACCCAGGGATATATTCTCATATTCCATGGCTAGTGGTTCATTATGGGACTATCTCAGTTTTATGAGAACTTGCACATAGCACATAAAGTTGACCGTGGGGCTCTGGTCTGAAGATGAGCACCCATAGTCTACCTCTACCCATGGAATCCCAATGACTTACTCTGAGGACACAGGGATCTCCAAGGGACAGATGGCCCAGAGAAGAGTGATGACCCTGAGCTAAGAGGTACCGGGTGAGTGTGAGGCTGGTGTGTGCTGTTAGATTCCCTTAGTCTGTGGAGAGCACCCATGCCTGGGTCCGGAGGGGGCTTCAAGCTAGTTCAGCCTCAGGTGAGAGAGAGCCTCCCTTGGTGGGTGAGTGCTGTTCTTTGCTGCTGGTGTGCTATCTGATTCACTTTCCCATCCCAGCCCTTTACCCCGCTGTCTGCAGCAGCCTGAGCGATGTCCCAGGCCCCACATCTTTGGCCTGGGGACATTCCAGTCCTTGCACCCCATCCCATGCCTCCTCCTTCCCAAGACTGCTGTAGGCACATGAGCAAACTGTAGCTTGTGTTCTAGGCTGGGGCAGGGAAGGCAGAGTTCGAGACCTCCTGGTCAAGCCATGTCCCCACGCATGGGAAGCTCCAGGCCTGCCCTTTTGTTTTGAGTTAGCTAGCCATTTTACCCCAGGAGCCACCAACCAGGGCAAGGACACTTTCCTCAGCTCTGGGTGGCCTAGCTTCTCCCCCAGCTCCACTGTGTGTCCCGGCAGGAAGTGCCCAGCCAGAGTGGCATCACATGACCTACTCACCTCTGACTCATCTTCCCCAACACTGTCAGTCAGGATTGGGCTCTAATGGAGCCTCAGGTCAGCCATTGATGACCCCAGCTCATTCTAGCCAGGCACAGATTCCTCTGCACACTCAGTGACATTATTGTCCACGTACTGAGGGCACACACACACACACCACACCATACACACACACACACCATACACACCACACACACACACCATACACACCACACACACACACCATACACCACACCACACACCACACCACACACACACACCATACACACCACACACACACACATACCATACACCACACCACACACACACATACACCATACACACCACACACACACACACCATACACCACACCACACACACACATACACCATACACACCACACACACACACACACCATACACACCACACACACACACACCATATACCACACCACACGCACACATACACCATACACACCACACACACACACACACCATACACCACACCACACACCACACACATACACACACATACACCACACGCACACACACACCACACACCATACACCATAAACCACACACACACACATACACACACACACCACACACACACCACACCACACACCATACACCACACACACACACCACACCACACACCATACACCACACACCACACACACACACCACACATATACACACATACACACACACCACACACACCACACACACACCACATACACACACCACACACACATACACACACACACATACACACACACACACACCACACACCACACACACACACACACACACACACACACACACACACACACACGAGACCAGACCCGTGGGGATGTTGGAGATTCGACGAGGCCCTTCAGTAGAGGCAGTCAAACAGGCCCCCAACCAGAGTTTTCTCTAGTTCCATTTCTAACTCAGGCTTTGCCCTGCAGTCAGTTCTCCAGCCCCTCCCCCTCCCCTTCACCTGTCAGTCACAGCTAAAGTCAGCCTGTCTGTCCCAGGAACGCTGTGAGCTCTTCCTTTGGGCCATGGCCTGAATGGCCTCAGTATTTATGGGATCTTGCCTGAGGGGCTGCCAAAGGTTCAGGTCTTACCTGTGCATGGGAAGCACAGGGAGGGATTGTCTAGGATAGAGCTCCCTGGAAAAGCTGCCCTTCCATTGGAAGGGGCTTCCTTCCCCCATTTACAGGGGCCGATCACTTGCTTTAGGCAGCTTGGAATGTCCCTTGTCCCCTTTGTCCTGCAATGTCAATTCTTGTGTGTCTTTTCGTCTCTGCTTCCGTGGTGTGGGTCGGTCCTTTGTGGTGTGGGGTGCAGGGTTGCAGGGTCCCAGCCAGCATAAGGGATAAAGAGGGGCACAGGCGGCCAGCTTTGGCTCCCTTCTTGCCTGTGATTATGCAGATCCACAGCGACACCTCAGAGATGCCCCACTCAGGAGCTACCCCTGCAGCCTCAGGGTGGTCTGGGTCTTCCAGCCGCCCTCTCTCGGGCTACAGTGGCTGCCTTGGAACAGTGCTAGACCTCGGGGTAGGGAGAATGGCGGCACTGGGGACAGAATTGATAGGGCAAGATCGGGGATGGCCGAGAATCCAGCTGCAGGGCTGGCAGCCTGGACCCAGAGTGGAGTCGACACTGCTCATGTGGGTAAAGGAGATCTGAGGAAAAATGAGATGCCAGTGGATGCCAGGCATGGGCGTTCTTTTCTGTGTTGTGCATCTCCCCCCCTCCCTCCACTAATCATGTCTCTCTCTCTCTTTGTTGAACGAGTGTGGTGGTTCTTATGACTGTGTTGCTCGCGGCTGTCCCCCTTTAGCCTGAGATGTTTTCCCCTGAGTCCCAGCTGGGCAGACCCCTTTGGGGGCAAACCCAAGGCAATGCCCAGCCCAACTAACCCCTGTCCAGCCCCGCGTGCGCCTGGTGGCGCCCGCTGCTGGTGTGAACAGTAAGTACGTCAGAAGTATCTGGAGATGGCAGACAAGCACGCCCTGCTGATAAAGGGCCTGGTCATGTAGGTTCTCCTTGCTCCAAAGTTTTAAAAAAAAAATGACCCTGTCACAGACGTTCATCTCAGTTCATTTCAAAGCCTGGAAATCATCTCTGAGACGCTGAGCATGCTGTCATTTCATCATCGCAGGCCTGTGGGGTCGTGGGGTCCTGGACCAGGGGAGGCAGGCCCAGGCCTCTGAAAGCAAGTGGGAACCTAGGCTGTCCTTTCATCCCGGGAGAGAAGAGCCGGGCAGTGGGCATTCGGTGACCCTGCCCCTGTGGCTTTCCTCGTGGTCCCTCAGGTTTAGACAGTTGGCGCTCTTTGGTTATTTCCTCTTCTGGCCATCCACACTGAAGTTTGGGACAGGGAGTGGATGGCTCCATTGCTGGGAACATCTTCAAATGCATATAAAACAACAGCCACTCAGCCATAGGTCCCCTTTCAAAGGTTGAGGCTGAAAGAAAGGGCAGGTTCCAGGGGCATCCTGGGAACTGCCCGCCATCTTGTCCCCTAGATTCGGGATGGCCGCTCCTCCCCCTCCCCCGCTCCCCACCCCCGCCTAGGCTGCACTGTCTCTAGGGAGGCAGAGGCAGAAAGGAGCAGTGATTATTTGATTGACCCTTCCCTGGACCAGAAGAGCAGGCTGGGGACACTCACTCAAGAGCATCTTTGCCAGCAGGAGAAGATGCACTTGGAAGCACTAATGTTCCCCTGGAGAAAAAGGCATTCGAGGCACATAGACCCCAGCTTCCAAACCCCTTCCTCACCATACCACATCCCCATCTCCCCAGCCCTCTCCTTCCAGCCCACAGACCCTCCACGAGGGACATAAGAGCAAAATGGGATGTAAGGGAGGAAACATGCATTCATGGGCACATATGTGTGCCCACAGGCACACCCCATACACTAGGCAGCTCCCAGCTTGTCACATAGTGCCAGAGTTTCCCTAGGGAACTGGCCTTTCTGGTTCAGAGTCAATCAGGAGCGAAGGCCTGGGATCTTCAAGGAACGCACTGTACGTGAAATGCCTTGCCATCTTGTACGACAGACTTTTTTAAGTTCCAAAATTATGATGGGAAACTTTTTTTTTTTTTTTTTTTTTTTTGATTTGCTTTACGAATAAACCTGATTGGTCCATTTCTCTTTTGACTGACTGCCTCTTTGTAGTGACATGGTGTGCACGGGTGGTGATCCCACTCACGTGCACACCACGTGTGTGCACGCAGGGAAGGATCACTCCCGTGCGTAGTTACATGATGTGAGCAGGATGGCGGGAAGGGTCAGATCTGGAGGGAATGCCCCCTAGCTTTCTTCCAGAGAGTGTTCTCTAACACATCCCCCGGGCCGCTTTCCTGTCCTTACCAGAGGGCTCTCATACAGGGCTTCCTATAGGCACAGCATTTGAGTGGGGTTCACCCTAGCAGAGTCCCCAAGAGGGACAGAGATAGGGAACAAAGGTCAGTCAAGTCACCTCTGCCATGTACTGAAGGTCTCCAAATCTTTGCTCTTGAAGCTGGGAGGGCCAGGGTGCTCTCCCTGAGACCTCCCCCCCCCAGGTCCTCCTTAGGCCACTACAGAAGCCGAGCCTCACATTCCCCCCACCAAGGCCATCAGCATCGGTCTCCTGCACATCCATTTGCTCCGCTTTGCCAGGGATGCCGGCAGAAGGGACAGGAACGGGAGCCTCTCCCACATCCCTGTCCAGACATACAGCCTCATGCATACCTGTGCATCTTTGTTGTGCAAGCTGACCAGGTCCCCTGGAGTGGTCTGCGGAGACTCTGCTTAATGTGTGTGGGCAACGGTGTAGGTCTGCATGGGGACAGAGCAGATGGAGTGATCTAATTGGGTCTATGAGGGTGCACAGGAAGTTCATTTGCATGAATGATAGAGTAGACCTATCAGATTGGGTCCTTAGAGGGGTGGTGATACCTGTAACCAGGCTTAGTCTGTATGGGGAATGGGAAATTGAAGGGACCCTATTGGGTCTCCGTAGAGACAGTATGAGTATGGCCACCTCTTATCTGTGCATAGGACAAAGTCTCCAAGGGAACTTGTAGCTGTGTGAACAGTGTAGAGGAATGATCAGGCTCAGCCTGTGTGGTCTCAGTCTCAGAGGGACTGTGTCCCTGTAAGGAGGGACCCGAGGTGTGGCCAGTCTAGTTTCTATGGGGCTCAGCATGGTAAAATACAGTTTGTGTGGGGACAGTGTAAAATATGTATCCAGGCGAGTCTGTAGAGATGACGGGAATCTGAGGGCCTAGTCTGTATGGGATAAAATTACAGAGGCACCAGATTTGGTCCTTGTGGGGACAGAGAAGAAGGCTAGGACATCTGAATGGTCAAACTGGGTCAGAATGGAGTGGAGGGAGCAAGCTGAGTGGTCAGACTTGGGGACACAGCAGGAACCAGATGGGGTGGGGGAGGGAAGAGGTCAAATGGGGCCCCGCTGGGCCTGAGCGGGGCTGAAGGTTGCTGGGAGTCAGCCAGGTGCTTGTTAGAAGTAGAGGGGTCTGAAAGGCTACCTTTCTGGACTGGGGCCTTTCTGAATGTCTGTCTGTCTTCCCCCTGAGCTGTGTGTCTGGCCCTTTCCCCATAAACACATCACATCATTCTGTCTCATTAACCCTGCCTTGGGCCCTGGGCCTGGCTCCCAGAACCACACGCTAGGCTCATCACTAATTCATCTTTTTGCAAACTTTGAGCAAACCTAGGAGTATCTACCTCCCTCCCTCCCCCCTCTTTCCCTCCCCCTCCCTCCCTTCATTGTCAGCAGCCCACCCCAGCCTTGCACCTTCCTCCATGGACCACCCACTTCTCCATCTCAGGAACCGGAAGTCCTCTGTCAAATGCCCTACCTTCGGCCTGTCACCCCCTCTCACTAAACAGTTTTCAGTGTCTCAATAGCTTCTGCTTATATGTTTGAAGATTCCAAACTGAATGGGGAGGTGGCGAAGGCCGCGCTGGCGAACGAAGACTGCCCCCACATAGACCAGGCCCTCACTCCCGATGAGGGCCTGCCCTTTACCCGCTCTGGCACCCGCGAGAGATACGGACCCTGCTTCCTCTTATCAACCGGGGAGTACGCGTGCCCACCTGGTGGAGGAATGAGAAAGGGTATGTAGGGGAAGCTGGCGCTCTCTGCATTGGCCGGGCCCGCCTTGCGCTCCTGCAGATGGGTGGGCAGGGCGGAGGGCAAGGGGCGCTGAGGGGTAGGCAGGCACACTGAGGGGACAGGGATGGAGGGAGTCCCCCAAGGTCAGAGTCCTTTCACCAATGGGATGGCGGGTTGGCAGAGAAGCTGAGGTCCAGATCGCTGTAGGTTGGTATTACGATAAATGGTAGAAAGGGGCTTGGCCCAGGCTGGATGACCGTGAGCTGTAAACCCAAGCCAAGGGGGTACCTAAAGAAACAGGGTCTCGACTCCCCCAGAGTTGGGGTATAGCAGTCCAAAAAGGCAGTGTTCTTTCCTAGCCTTAGTTGCGGAGGGTACTTGGCTCGGCCACCACCCTGTGAGTTTAGCCTAGGGTTGTGCTATGGAAGAGGTCCCCTTTGTAGAGAGTCTGAGGGCCAGTGGAAAGGGAGGCACAGACAGGTGGCTTTGGAGCTGGGAGACAAGGCCACTTTCCTTGTAGAGGTTAGCTGTGTGCTAGTCAGAACTCTGGGAGTGGGAAACAGAAAACTTGCCATGACAAGGTTTGTAAACGAGACTACGCATAACCCTTTCCATAGCCAGAGCAGTTAGTTACCACTGCCCCAGAGGTGGGGCTTGCTTCCTCGTGGCTGCTCAAGGCCGCAACAAGGGTGTTCTTGCAGTCAGGGTTTGGAGAGGGTTAGCATGGGCTGGGGCGAGGCATGGGAAGGAGCTCCGAACAGTCCACACAGGGCCGCGGGCACTGGCCTGGGCCTTTCTCAGGGCAGCAGACTAACTGGGAAGCTCATGCACCTATCTGTGCACTGCACATGCTCACATAGACACACGCTGATGGAGAGCAGGGTGGGCCAGACAGGAGCCAGGGGCTTGAGAGCAACAGTTGGTGTGTAGTCTGTGGCCTTTGTCAACTTCACTAGTGTTGGAAACGGTTAAAGCAGAAACAAGGAGGAAACAGACTCCAGGAATAAAGGCAGATCTAGAAGAGGAGAGGCAGCCTACACCACCAGGATGAGGGAATGTCCTTTGGGCTGCGCACGGTTGCTCAGTGATGCCCGCCTCATGCAGGCTGGTCTCTGCTTGTTTGCCCTGCCTGAGGTCCCATGGACCTCAGTGCGGTGTGGTACGCTGCTCCCCGCATGGTGATGCATGGCAGAGGGCCACCAGCCTTGAGGGGGGCCTCATCCTTGACATGGATGGGTCTGCTGCTCTCTTTGCAACTGGCTTTTTCCCAGGTAAAGCCTCTAGAATGCCCAGGATCAGGGGGCCACACTGAAGAATACGGGGAAAACTATCTCCATGGCTGTGCCCTGGCCCAGTAAGGTGCTGGCTGCCTGGCTCCTTCATTTTGGATGCTGGATGGCCGGTATGGCCTGAGAGAACTGTCTCTACTGTGCTTCCAGAAGCACCCTATTTCACAGTAGTGCTAGGGAGTTGAGTGCAACCCCCATCCACAGGCGATCCCCACCCTGAGAGCCCACCTGGGCTTGGGTGCTAGACTCTCTGGGAGGCGCCAAGGTTGAAGGCCCCACACACTTCCCCCCAGCCCGGCTCTCATGGCTCCTGATAGCAACGAGAACTTGCTTTGCTCTGGCTGATTCGGAGCCCTTTAGGTCTGCAGGTGCAGAACAGAAGTAGGGACTTCACCCGTCCCCCCAAGGAGGGAAGAGAGAGAGGCTGCTAGGCTGGTTCGCTGCATGGGAAACAAGCCAGCTGGAGAAGAACCTGCCTGCCTCTGCATGCGGCTGCTCAGTCTTTCCTCCTCCTCCCTTAACAACTAAGTACCGAGCGAGCGAGCGAGCGAGCGAGCGAGCGGGAGGGGAAAGCACGAAGAGGAGCTCAAGTGTTAATTGTATTCTCTACATACAGATCTTTGCAAAGAAAGCCCTGTTATTGCTAAGTATATGCCGACAGAGGCTGTGAGAGTGACTTGACCAGGCGGCTTGGCCGAGGACACTGGTGGCTATTAAGCATCTGGGTGGACCTGCAGCCCCTCCTCACCCTCGGACAGAGTAAATTCACGCCATGCAGGTTTGCCGGACGAGTCCGAGTGGCCCGGGCATTGTACTAAGACGGACGTAGCTTTTTCTACGGCCAATGGTAACTGACCGTAGAGGATCACCCTTCTTTCTTCTCTCTCTCTTTTTTTAGAAGTTACCTTTTATTTGGGGAGGGGGGTTGAAGGGGAGCCTTAGCATGACTTGCATGAAGTTAAACAGAAAACCCAGCTAACCCAAACCCACCAGACCCCGCTGTAACTGTATGATTACCCTCACCGCCACCAAGAAAATGGAGAGAAAAGCAAGGGTCCTTTTATTTTCTTTTAGTGCTCTTTATTTTGACACATGGTGTCGGAGCCAAACTGTAACGGCGCTCAGTAGAAATGTGGACATTTCTGGGAGTGGGGGGCCAGGGAAGAAGGACGGGGCCGGGGAATGGACTGCTCTTTGTACACAAGACCCAGAGGGAAGGGTTCAAAAGGGCAGTCAGTCATCGGTCATATTGACCTCACCTTCGTAGCTCATCTCTCAAGCGGAAAACAGAGAACTTTGCTCCGAGTAGGATTGTGGGGGCTCACACTCCGCCCTCCGTCTTTTCTGTTTGGCATGCTTGTGACCCAGCGGACGCCTCCTCGAGACCCGACAGTGCTTAGTTTAGGTTGGTTCGCTCATCTCTGTGTGTAGATCCAGTGCAACCAAGTTTCACAACGAACCATCCATAGTTACACCACATGGATTTTCCAATGTCATTTTAAAGCCAGGATGTAGGGTACCTTCAGTTCAGGACCACCAGAGGGGTGTCTCCCCTCCGCCTTTATTAAGGCACAACCTGGCATTGTATGCAATTTAGTACTTCAGAGTAAAAGACAACAACAAAAACAAAAAAACTGCATGCCCAATGTTATGCAAAGAGATTCGAGCATGAAATAAATTTTGTAACACGGTTTCTGTCTAGTCTAAAGCAGATTTGTTTTTCTGAAGCAATTGGAGGTTTGCAGAGGCGCGCTTCTGCATCTCGAATAAATATAGTATTTTCCCAACAGAAACAGAGGACAGTAGCTTGGCTTTGGTCTGATTCTAAAATTAGTGTGTGTGTGGGGAAGGATGATATTTTTGAAAAACACATGCTTGAGTTGGAAAAAAAAATGCAACATCTCAAGCTTCCACTGCAACATTTCCTGGAAAGACAGCAACCTCCCTCTCTCCCAGGGCCCTGGCCCTGGAAATAAAACGCTGACTTCTGAGATGAAGCACTGAGTTGAGTTTTTATTGCCTTCAGGCAGAATGTCCATTCTGTTCGGGTACAGCTGTGCCAATCCTGGGCCCAACTACTACTGTACCATCTAAGCCGAGGTGTTGCTGGGCTCGGAGGAAGCTGTCCCCTGCAGGGTAGGGCTGCAGATCCTGTAGGGCCAAGGGACAAAAGCACATTGTCTGTGGGCTTCGCCTGGTATGGTTCTGTGACTCATCTGGGTGGGTCCTTGCATGAAGCCATGTTGGAGCATCTAGTTGCCCTGTGCAGCCATGGGCACCTCTTTGCTAGGGCTACTGTTGGGTGTGGCTATCAGGTCTGGTGCCCTGGCCAACTTGCAGGGCCTGTTCTAGAGACCACCTCACCGAGCTCTCCTCTCTCAGCCTGGATACACCTTGGGAAGAGTAGAATCTGTTCTGGGGGGTACTGGGTACTGGGAATGGAAGATCTGATCCTTCCTCATCCATTGGTGATTCCAGAATGTTCATGTGGAAAGAAAGAGACCCCATGGCTGTACAGCCAGTCCCTGAGCATGCGAAGATGGGGACAAGGCCAGAGACGGCAGCAAGCTGCTCAGCCTCCCTCAGGTTTCAGCCCCTCTGCCACCCGCCCCCCCCCCCCCAGCACGGCCTGAGTCTGAGATCCCATGGGCGGGTGGGACACAGTTGTACCTACAGTAGTTTCTCACCTCTCTAAGAAGCTGCCTCAACTTCCTGGTACTCAGTTAGGCGCAAGAACCCAAGGCTGGGGTGGGCGGAGCCTCTGTGCAGGGGTCTGATAGCCAAATCTCAGGACACACCTAGGCCGCTGCCTGAGACCACTACTGACGTGAGCCAGGGGTCTGCTGGGAAGATGCGGCTCTGCTGAATGACACAAAGCCATCTGGAATACAGGCCGCGGAACACCACAGCTGGAGAGGACTGACTGTGTAGGGGGCATCTCACAAACACTGCCTAACAGTGCAATCGGCCCACATTACAGCTGAGACAAGGCGCAGAGAGGGAAAGCAACTGGCCCAAAGCCACACAGCCCAGTGCAGGTGAAGTCATCCTAACCTGGGTTCAGGGTTCAGGCTGGGTTGTCACCTTGGGGCTGGTCCTTGATGGTGAACCTGGGACTCTTTGGATTTGGCCTCCTGCCCTTCTTCATGGAATGCCATCGGCTGACAGGAGGGGCCACTTCCTGTTCTGTTCCAGATCTCTCCTGACCCACCACGGCTGGCCAACCCCACCCTGCTGCCCTACGGATGACTCCCTCGGCTAGTTTTCTAGAAGCAGCGGCCTCCTCCCTGCCCACCTCTGCGCTGCAGCGAGGCAGCTCCGGCCTTGCGGCGGCCATGCTTGGCCCTCTCACACCTCCCCCCCACAGCTCTCCCCCCTCTAACGCCCATGGCTAACCTCAGCCAGAGTGGAAAAGGATGGATTCTGAGTTACAGGCCCGGATTCACTGTCCCTAAGCACCGCCACCCGTCTTATTTAGGGTTTCTACTACTGCGATGAAACACCATGACCAAAAGCAAGTCGGGGAAGAAATGGGTTTTAATTCAGCTCACACCTCTACATCACAGACCATCACTGGAGGAAGCAGGTCAGGAACTCACACAGGGCAGGAACCTGGAGGCAGCAGCTGAGGCAGAGGCCACAGAGGGGAGCTGCCCACTGGCCTGCTTTTCCCAGCTTGCTCAGCCAGGGCCGCCAGCCCCACTCACAATGGCCTGGGCCCTCCCCCATCAACTGCCAGTTAAGAAAACATCCCACAGGCATTTTCTCAGTTGGGGCTCCCCCCCCCCCTCAGGGGACTGTAGCCTGTGTCACGCTGACCTAAGACTAGCCAGCACAGCATCCAAGGACACTTTAGTGGACCTCACAGGCATGTGAGGGCCCATCGTGGCCAATGGTGGCAGGTGTCTCAAGGGAAGGCGGGGATCTGTGACCAGAGGGAAACGGGGGGGGGGGGGGGGGTGTGGGAAGTAGGGACAGCAGCGTTGGCTGCACGGGGTCAGGGGTCATCAGCACTCACTCCAGGGCCTGGCCAGACCCTTGCAAGCCACACAGTGGTGGGATTCTTTCTTCTCATGAGGGGCGGGGATGCGAGGGTGGGATGGGGACGGGGCAAATTCACTTAGTCAATCAAGAAACTGTAGTTCTTGTTTTTGAAGTGAGTTTTTTTTTTTCCTCAGGTAAGCCCCTGTGATTCTAATGAGCCTAACGGGGCAGGTGGAGTCAAGCTGACCTGAGACTGACTCTCTAGAAACTGTAAACAGATCCAAGGGTGCGGTCTCAGAGCTGGCTCAGTTAACCTCCCCACTCCATGGTGACCCCGCGACACTGAGATCATTCATTTACAGTTTGCTAAGTTCTAGAACTAAGAGCTGGCTCCCTCACAGGCTGCCAGGAAAGGGGACTCGGACAAACTCTCAGAAAGACAATTGCCACCAAAGGTTTCAGGGGATAAAGGATCTGGACTTATCAACACTTCCTTCCTCATCTCTGACAAGGGCACTCCCTCATCGGGTCAGTCAGTGAAGTGAGGGCCTTCTGCCCACTCCGCCAAGAGGAAGGGCAGAATGGAGTGGATGAGGTGAGGCAGTGGGTGATGGGACCGACCATTCCTCCCTGCATGTGTCTGCTTCCAGAAGGATCTGACCCACTTGTAAGCACTGAAGTTCTAGATCAAAGGCCTTAGATAGGGCTGATGCCCTGATCCTATTCAGTTGAGAAGATGCTTCTAGCTCATGCAAACAGGGCGCTGGGCTCCAGCAAGAGACCTCAGGGCATGGAGATTTTCCAGGTCATGCTGAATGCGGCAGGAGCTCTGCCTTTGGCCTTCCCTGTGCTTGGAAACTGGGCAGTATGGGTCAGTGATAATGCGTTCTGGTCTGGTTTTGGACAACTATTCAGCCTACAGGACAGTAACCTTGAGCCTGCTCCGTTATGGCTTACCACTGGGCAATTGCTCCATCTCTGTGGGCTTGGTCATGCTAGCAAGAGCAAATCAGAGGACATGGGCTTGGTCACGCTACCAAGAGCATACCAGAGGACAAACGCTGTAACTCTGGCCCTGGGAGGTGGGGTTGTGTAGGGCAGAGCACAGTTCTTGGGTCCAATTTTAGGAGCAAGACTTCATGCACTGGGGTTGCAGGTCAGACTATGGCTCCAAGCGGTGTCTAGGCTCAGGCCTGTGGAGTTTGCAACTGACTTCACCCATAACTTCTGAGAAGAACCTACTTCTAGTCATTTAGTTTCCTATCCCACCCTTGTTGAGTACAGGGCTCTGGCTGGGTTCACCCTGGGCCAGCAGTGAGGTATGAGACCTTGAGATGGCCCTTCCCTCCTTTCAGGCACCATTTTCTGCTGATGAGCAATTAGAGAGGTTGAACAAAATCAGCAGCTTCTATACTTTCTTAAGGGTGCACTTATCACATATAATCTTAATCAGATCACAATATATAAAGACAAAACCAACTCTACCCAAAGAACCCAAAGGTGGGCAAACTACCCTTTCTACCTGGCCCATTTCCCAGTCTACAGGGAGATGCCTCAGGCTCTGAAGAGTACAGGGTGCTGGTTTTGTTTGTCAGCATTGTTTTTTGAGACAGGGTCTCACTCTTTAGCCCTGGCTGGCTTGGAACTCGATATGTAGCCCAGGCTGGCCATAGACTCCCAGAGATCGGCCTAGCTCTGTCATCCAGGTGCTGGTATTAAAGGCACATGCCACCATGCCAGGCTCTGAAGAAAGTAGTTCGGAGGCCTGTGGGCTGTGTATTGATGGAAGATCCCTCAGCTTTAATGTCCTGGGCTTCTATAACCTCTGGAAGCCAGGAGAGCAGAGTATCCCAGCTCAGAGGCGATACAGCTCACCAGCCTCAGCAGCCCCGGGATCCTGCCTGGCTGGAGGAAGACTTAGACATCTTCTGAGACAGTTTCCCTCGTCTGCACTGGGGTTTTCTCTGCTGGGTCTTCCCAGACGCCTTGGGCTCTCTCCACTTACTCTCCATTCCATTCTCCCCACGCGACCCTATGCCTTTGCCTGGGCCCTTGGTCATGAAGACAGTGCCTTCCTTTCTGAGCCTCCAGGCAGAGTTCCCTCAGACAGACCATGGACTCTGGACAGAAAATAAACCCCCAAGTTAGAAGGGAAATGTATGCTGCTCATATCCTAGAATGTTCTGTCTTCTGTCCTAAGGCAGCTGGGCCAAAACACAGCCATGGGGCTGGGCTGACATCACGCAGGGCTGAAGCCTTCCTTGCTGATGTTTTAACTTTGTATATCTTTGGTGAGGATCCCCTCACTTGCTGAGTAGAACAGATGTCCTCTCCATAGCTCAGCCCTCTCTGAGCAGTGGGCAAGCAGCTCCTCATTGTTCTGTCTGTGGCTCTGCCCAGACATCGGGGCTTACTGAGGCCCTGAGCTGATTGACAGAAAGATTCTCCAGGGAACCATTTGTTGGGATAAGGCACTTTATTAAGGGTCCTCTCTCACGGTCCCTCACTCCTCGTCCTGTCAGAACTGCTTTGGGTTGAAGTTACTGATAGTCTCTCCTTCCGGTTCCTCTCTTTGTTCATGGCATCCTGAGACTCAGGGTTCTCTGTGGCATCTTGGAGTGTGTGGGTGATCTTGAGACCCTGGCGTGGCACAGAGCGTGCTGGCAGATGACATAAGGCCAAGGAGTGGCCAGCCCCACAGCCCACGAGGAGGATTCTTGATGGTGGCTGAAGAGCCCGTACTGGGGATGGAGTCCAGACATTGGACTCAGTGCCATCTCCACACATGCCATGTTCATTCCAGCCCCAGGAACAACACTTGTCACCTGTGGGAGAGAGGGCACAAATGTCACTACAACATTCCCTCCACACAGGAAGAAACCATTGACAGGGTATGTTCAAGGGCCACCTCGCCGGCCCCTCTCCACCTCAAGTCGGGGTACCCTTCCCATCCTTCCTCTCCACAGCTGTTTATGCTCCAATCCTGGCTTTCCACCGTGGAGGCCACACGTGATCGATTACCGACTCCAGCCTCTCATACCTCCCTCCGTCTCTGCTGCTACCACTCTGGCTCAGGCTACCAGCTTCTCATTTTGGGCTATGCCTGCTTCCTATATATCCTCACGTTATCCTTCTATAACCCCAGCTCCCGAGAAGCTGAGGCCGGAGGCGCTGAGTTCCAGATCAGCTTAGGCTACACAGAAAGACGTTGTTTCAACCTCCCTGCTTAAGAAAACCACTTGAAAATTTGAAATATTTTAGTATGCAGAAGAGCATGGAAAACAATGTGCAACAACACCCTAACCTAAGTTCAGAACATGAGCTCCCATGCATACTTCAATTCTTCCCTTAAAAAGCAAACAACCCCAAACCTTTTAAGCCTGACCCCCTCTGCGTCCTCCACCCTGCAACAGTAACCACCGTTTTGAAGCCAGTGTCCACACCTTCATGCACATATATTTATATGTACATCTATGTCCTTAAACAGTGTGTGCTCATGTGTTTGTTTGAAGGGTTTACAAAAGCACATCACCGATGCACGCCTTTTATATAACCTATTCTTTACACTTGACGCTGCTTTAGACATTTATCTCAGCCAGTGAGTCAACCACCTAGCTCATTAAGAGCCTCTCGTGATGTAAGGTCATATTCCACTCAGCCATGACCCCGGGACAGCCAGTTTTTATTGGTCATGACTGTTGCCGCTGGGCTATGTACACCAAGGTGTGGTATACTATGATATTACACATCACCAATGTGGCTGCTGTTATAACCGTGCAGCTGTGAACATCTTTGAACACGTTTCCTAATAGACAATGATGTCCATGCAGGGTGATTCTCAGAAGCACATACAAGTCATGGTGGGGGGTTCATGTTGCTAAATATAGGCCGGAGTTCATCAAAGTGGCGGCAGGGGCATTCCCCTCGCTTATGGACACGTTTCTGTTCCTCCGCATCTTGCCCTGTAGACTACCGCCGCTCCGGTGAGTACATCCACTTAGCTTGCACTCCTACTAACACAGAGGGCTCTGCCTTACAAGTCGGAGCCAAGTCACATGCTTACGTTCTCAGCCTGCTTGTTCTTTGCCTCTTTCTTACTGACGTCTTAGTGCATTTCCCCCCCCCCCCGTTCTATGCACTGCAAGTGGCTCCTCCCAGAAGTCTGGGGTGTGTCACCTCCTTTTGTTCATGGAGTCTTTTGCTAAGCAGGTTACTTGTAGTGGCTGCCTAATTGCACATTGTGAAGATTAAACAATTTGCTTTAGCCCACTGGCCCTTAGCAGACAGACACTCAGGTTGTTTCTAATTTTCCATTTTCCTACAGCATTGCGTGAACACCTCAACGTGAATCTTTGTCCCTCCCTCTAATTACCTTTCAAATTAGATTTGTAGGACGGGGATTCCCAGCCAGTGGGCACCACCATCTTGGAGACTCCCGAGGGCTGTTTGAGGGCGGCCAGGGCTCCCTTTAGAGAAGCCGCCAGGATGGAGATCGGTGGCTAGCTTTTCCCCTCCCACGTCACTAGTGTTTATTAGCATCTTTTTCTATCTGAATTCAAAACGGCAGCTCACTGTTACAGAAACCCCTCTTCTCCCCTCGATTCTGTGCTGTTTCCTACAATCCCCCTCTCCTCCCAGTTAATATAAAAACTTTCAAGTGTTCAAATCCAAAAGATAGGCTTTTTTTCTTGTTTTAGATCTTTCAGCAGACATATATTTGGGGGTTTATTGGGGGAAGAGGAGGGTCTCATGAAATTCAGTCCGGCCTAACTTACTGCACAGTCGAGGCTAACCCTGACCCTCCATCCTCCCGGCTCCACCTCCCGAGCGCTGGGAGTGCAGGTGTGATCACATCGAGCAGGCTCAGGGCCTTTTGTAAAGCTCAGTTCTTTTCAGCAGCACGCACAAATTGACAGCCTCTTTTTATCGGAAAATGCTCCGGATTTCCCCACAATCCAATGTCTAAATCTTTCCAATTATGTGATTGCACACCAAAAAGAGCACTGTTTTAAGAGAGGGAGGCCAGCTGGGTCTAAGGGGATGGCCATTAGGGCTCCACTTCCTTGGGAGGGAGGCAGCGCTGGTCAGGGGCTCAGGTCTGGGGAAATATGTCTTCTGATTGGCTGGCAAGATGAGGAAACACATACAGAGAGTACCTTCCTAGCCTCCCTTTGGTTGGGCAGAACTTCACAAGGCTGAGCAGGAGGGAGATGGATGGATGCGGGAGGGAGGGAGGGAGGAAAGGAGGGAGGGAGCAGGGTGGAAGAGCCCAGAACCTTAGGGCCCAGCTTGGCACCTTGCATGGGCCCAGTGCCTGACCCTGGTGAGAAGGACAGCCGACAATCAGCGGGGGGTGGGGGTGGGGGTGGGGAGCAGGGGTTGGGTGGGAAGAAGACAGAGCTGACCTCCACAGAGGACACAGCGCAATGGGCACCTGCCATGCCTTTCTGCCAAAGGGAACTCGCTCTGAGGAGGCCGCACTTGGGGCTGGAGCCAAGGTTTTCATGCCTGCTTGGTGCAGAGCTGGCACAAGCCCAGACGTCTCTTCTCCGACACTCTGAGGACAGTATGTGTATCGGGTTGTGTGCTTTATCTGCTCAGGCTGTAACAGCCCAGTGAGGTGGCCACACTTCATGGATGGTGTTCATCGCCCAGGAGAACACGGAGTGGGCTCCCAACACTGCTAAACCCCACATTATACACTGGGCTTCAGCGAGCTCATTCTCACGCGAGTACTTGAGGTTTGTGGGCCTCACTAGTGTGTCGCACATCCTCTCCCCAGGGTGGTGGAGATCTGCACTAAGGTCCTCCTGTTTGTGCAGCAGGTACTGGGTCCTCCGAGCCATCTCTGCAGTCCCGCCCACTCCCTTTTCGACAGCCCTTTGAGGTCATTTGAGGACGGATTGCGGGGCTGGAGAGATGGCTCCACAGTTGTTAAGGGCACTCGTTTGGGTTCGGTTCCCAGCACCCACATGGTGGTTCACAGCCACGTGTTACCCCAGCTCCAGGGAATCTGATCTGACACTGCCTTCTGACCTCTGTGAGCGCCAGACATGCACACGATACACATACATACATGTATGCAAACCCATACAAATAAAATAAATACATCTACATTTTTATTTTTAAAGATGGTTGTCATCATATAAAAGTAGGTCACAGGTCAGACCCAGTTGTCGTCTGCCAACTGCTGCCCACCTGGTACACAGGATACTGTTTAATACGGATCATGCTAGGCTCTCCTGGCTTTCCCAGCATACCTAGGTCCTCACATGCCAGACGTTCTGAGTCCCTCTATGCATCTCCCAGTACATGTCTCACTTGGTGCTGAGTTTGATAAAGTTCAAGACCCAGATGCAGACACAATATAGGGCGATTCCTCCCTCCACTGCCCAAAGTATGGAGTCACATACTTCCTTACAGTACCAGTGTCTGTGAAGCTAAGGAAGCCTGGGAGAAAGGAGATGATGAGCTCTGTTTGGGGCAGTCAAAGATTGAGGTACCAGGGGCCACAGAGGTGCTTATCTTTAATCCTAATCCCAGCACTTGGGAGGCAGAAGCAGGTGGATCTATGTGAGTTTGAGACCAGCTTGGTAGAGTGAGTTCCAAGACAGCCAGGGCTACACAGAGAGAACCTGTCTCAGAAACAAACAAATGTCAGATGTCCTTGCCAGATAAACATGAATGAGCACACTCTGCAGTGAGCCTTGTGGTGGGCATATAACCCGAGAACCAAGAGAGAAACAGTAGGAGGTATGATGTAGATGGGCCCTCGGGTGCTAGCACGCAGTTCACGGGGGTCCTGAACCATGCTAAATCAGTCTCTGGCTTCGCTTTTCCATTGACAAAGTCAATTACCTTGTATTTATAATACTATACAGATTACTACATATGCATTTTCTTTGCGACTATTCTTACTGTCATTAAAAACTGTATGTTTGAAAGGAAATTTGCCACCATGTGTAGCTGTAAATCCAGGTCCAAGAGAAACAGTGTTCTTCCTCCCCAAGAATGACCCGGCTGCTGACATGGACACAGCCAAGTCATCCTCTCCTGGGATGCTGTCACGAAAGAAATGGCAATCCCAGAAGGTGTGCCATTTGGGCAGGAGGTGCCTGGACCCTGTGGCCAGGCTTTCTCGGGGGATATCATCTAATTCCTGGGGAGCTTGAGGCTCTTCTTTTCCTACCATGTAACAGCCCACCAGAATCTTTCTGTCTCTGCTAGAATGCAAAGCTCCCAAGGGAGCAAGAAGTGGATTTTTTTTCAATAGCTGTATCATAGAACTAAAGAAGTTATACATTAAAAAAGGTGCTCGGTAAATATTTGCTTCTGGTGCAAATAGTTCCTAAATGCCCCTAGACTGGCTCAGTCTTCTGAGAAGAAGCCAGATTGAAGATTGGGGCAGGAAAACGACAGCGATCCTCACCAAAGAAACTGCTGAGTGAGTGTGTGTGTGTGTGTGTGTGTGTGTGTGTGTGTGAATGCATATCTGGACAGACTGGCATACTAATGGGAGAATGGAGATATTAAAGGACTAGATCAGCTCCATGCCTAGCTCTAGGCCTCTGTCTGGCAGACCTGCTCAGGAATGCTTCGCCACAGCTCCCAGAAAGACTTGCCAGTAGACTGGCACAACCCTCTCCCTTCTGCGATGAGGAGGAGCCACTGGCCAGTACTTAGCCTGAGTACTTAGGAGGTGGGAAGAGAGATTTTGGAATCAACTGTTGCTACTCAGTGGCTATGGGGCAAGCCAAGCTTGGATTTGATATTGAAGTCATCTGGCATGTACACCTAGGTCTTGACTTCATCACCTGTAAGCAAG